CAGAGCTGTCTCAGCCCCACCTACCTCACTTGGTGTCTGTTGTGGGAAGAGGAAGGGAAGGTGATTGTAAGTCGCTTGGAGACTTCTTTGGGTAGAGAAAAGTGGGGTATAAAAACCAACTCGTCTGGCTTACAGAGATTAAGCAGTAAGCTTTTTCCTGGCATGCAGATGACATATTGAGAAAATTTTCACTTGCTAAATATCTGTGCCAAGCTACTGTTACAGGCACAGGAGCAGAAGCCAATAAAATGCTGATTAACCTTAAATGGAAAGCTTGATGGGTCTCAGGGAAAGCTGGTAGAAACAAACAGATGGACAAATGGAACGGAAAGTGGCAGATCGTACTCAAAGCATATTGCAAATACCTCTGCTATTGTACTCTTTGTGCTGTCTGTAGTGTACTGCTTTTGTGTAGTGTACTACAGATTATGGCCTGTGTTTCTTCTGATACCAGCAAGGGGAAATTAATCTATGTCTGGACTGTGGAGGATTTTACAGGCACTTAGAGAAGAAGAAGAGATTGGATTTATACCCCACCCTCCACTTGGAGTCTCAGAGCGGCTTACAAACTCCTTTCCCGTTCCCTTCCCCTCCCCACAACAGACACCCTGTGAAGTAGGTGGGGCTGAGAGAACTCTGACACAAACTGCCCTTTCAAGGACTGCCCTGACAGAACTATGGCTTGCCCAAGGTCATCCAGCAGCTGCAAGTGGAGGAGTGGGGAATCAAACCCGGTTCTCCCAGATTAGAGTTCGCACACTTAACCACTTCACCAAACTGGCTCTTATTTATTTATTCAAACTTTTACCCCGCCCTCCCAGCCAAAGCTGGCTCAGGGCGGCTTATAACAATAGTGTATGGAACAGGGAGGGAAGTCCTTCCACAATAAGAAAGCTCAAAGCTGCAACAGTGGGGACCACTATGTTGTCTTGGATACTGATTTATAGCTACTTTATATTTTTGTTTACTTATTGCGTTTATGACCCACATTTCTCCCCAATGGGGACCCAAAGCCGCTTACGTGGTTCTCCCCTCTTCCATTTTATCTTCACAACAACCATGTGAGGTAGGCGAGGCTCAGAGTGTGTGACTGTTCCCAGGTCACCCAGCAAGCTTCCATGGCAGAGTGAGGATTTGAACCTGGGTCTCCTAGATCCTAGTCTAACACTCCTACATTTTTCCCTTGCATATAGTCGTCATCCTATTCTGTTAGATGTTTGAATGAGGAGTTGAAACTTCATTACCAGCTAATTGGTGCTAAAATGTTGGATGTCTCATTTTGTGCAACTAGTCATTTTCTCTTCCGTTCGTATGTTGTCTTCCGAGATAGTTTGTGCAGCATGCACAAACTAAGAAATACGTCAGAATAAATGTGTGTGTTCCATTCAAACAATTTATGGGAAGTTGTTTTATTTCAGGAAGGATTCTGATGCTTTCCTGCATCTAAGTAAATTTTTTTCTGATGCACTTCGATGAGGTTTTTCCTTTTGTTGAGAAGTTCCCATGAGTTTTGTGGTGTTCTTCTGCTACCCAATCACTTCAGGGGGAATAGTGGGCGGAAAAGACCCCCTTCACCTCCAAGGTGATCATTGGGGGGGTGGGATTTGCTGTTACTTTGTATCCTCAGTCAAGGCATGCCCCATCCTGGAATGTAGCCAGATTTGGGGGTCAGGTGATAATCGTTTTTCACCCCCATCCAAAATTGTCCAGCAAAGAATATCTGTCAGTAGACTGATCTTAAACTGTAGTTAAACATTAACTCCTAATTTGGGATGACTTCAGAGACTGTGTTTCCCCTGCAGTGTTATATTTGTATTTATGAATATAATAAACAAGATTAAATAAAATTTCTGCAAGAGCAGGAGATTTCTCCTCCACTGGTGGAAACCCTCTCCTATCCTGCTTTCCCCCTTCCTCTAGTTTGGGCTCTGGCATACAGATCTTTACAGATAGAAATTTTTTTTTGTCCTAAGTGAACCTAGTCTTTTTGTGGCTGTTCTCTTGTTTGTCTGGTCAACGTGACATTCTTATGTTCACAACTAATGGCCAAAGCATATGTCTTTATCAGGAGAACAAAAACAGTGGGGGGTTTCCTTTGTGGATTTTGTGTGTTTGTGAACTTTCTTAGGTGCCCAGTCCTAGAACTGTTATATGCCTGTCTTGTTTTATGTACATATGCTGCTATCTTCCCCCCCACACAAGCATAGGGAATATGTGTGTGTTGTTATGCCAACTTCTCCAGGAAATTCCTGGAGACCCAATCCAAGTTATCTACCAAGGAAAATTGGGTGTTTGTGGCTGTGCGTAAGTTCTATACCAGTCTATACAGAGGTCAGATGGCCAATGAGACGCTCGCTATTGTCCAGGAAGTGAGACAACACGCTAGTCCTTAAATAAATGTTGTCTTTACTAAATGGTTTTTCATCAGGCATACAAAATCGGAATCATACAATTTCATACAAGCTCCTTAGTTACAAAAGTACATCAGAACAATTACAGCATAGAAAATAACAAAAGCATCAAAATGGGGATGACACAATGGGGCACGGCTATACTCATCTGAGGTCCAGCTGAGGAAGAACTCTCCTCCTTGGAACGCTGGGCAGCCGAAATGCAGCAGCTTGTGAACTCCAAGGCACACAGGTAGGACCAGCCAAACCACGTGTGAGCTCTCTGGGTCGCGACTCCGGAGAACTTAGGTAGTAGAGTCACTTGTAGCACCTTAGTGCACTGCTATGGGGAAGGTGGGTTAACCAGAGAGACAAAGGAGAGTTTCTCCTTAAATAAACTCTTTTTGGGGCATGTGCTATCCAGCCATAAACTATCAAACCCGTCCTCTAAACTATCACTACTGGATGAAGAGGGGGTGACGAGGGGATGACGCTCTCCTAAGGGGTGGTGGCAATATGCAGATCCTACTCCTACATCAAAGGTGCCTTTTGGCAAGGTGTGAATCTTCCGTTCCCATGGACACCTCTTGATTTGCAGATCTGGTTCCTGCTCCAAAGCCATAAACGCTATTGTCTTTAGATCTCCAAACCAGATTAAGGGAGTAGGGTCACTTGCTCTTTCCATTCCAAGAATGCCGGGGTTCGCTGGGGATTTTCCATAGCTCTCCAAGTGGGTGCAATGGCGCGGTGTCTTCTCCATCCCAAAGAGTCATGGGATACATTCCAGGGACGCACATGGTCCGTATGTGCAACGGCAGGCCCAGGCCAGCCTATTTCTAGGCAAGCATGAGATGCAGAACAAAGCAACACACAACATACAGCAATCCCTGAATACACAATGCATAGGTATTCATGCTAGAGACACACATAAGCAGCATCACCACTATACAGAAATACAAACATAAGCTCATATCGTTACAGTCCCCCCTTTCGCGGCGGCAGAACTAAAAGTTCGGCCTGCCACGACAACAAAACATTGAGTCCACGTGGCGGGTGCCACTCCAAGGCGCTGGCATGGAAGTGAAACGTCATCATGCCAGGCAGGTGCAAAAGAATGTCCAAGTCCATGCGTTGGTGACCCCTATGTGATCTGGTTTGGTGTGGTCATGAACAGAGTCCGGGTCCATGACAGGCAACGTCAGCAGAAAGAGCAGGCAGGCAGGCGGACACGTCTTCGGTGTCGGGGTGTCGCCATCCAGACAGAGGCATCCGTGCTTCCTGTCTAAATCTAGCTAACGTTGGAGGACGGGTTTCTTTCCTTTGAAAAGGGAAAAATACCAAGACCTGTCCTATACTTACCAAAAATGCCAAATCAAAATAGGGGGGGGGCAGCAATGACGTCAGACAAGTAAGAGCCGTGGGTGTTCACTTCAGATGTGCATGTGATGCCCTAGTGACAGCTCAATGCATGTCAAACCTGCTTGCATGGAAACAAAACAACAAAACAGTTAATTCACAGCTAAACCACAAGGCATGGTGTGCAAACAGTCCCAGTTTCCCAGGAATAAAGCAGCCTTCACCGATCCCTGAGTAAAACAACCCCATCGTCTCCCTAAGCGGAGGCGGTCCGTGGGATTCATTGAGGCAAGCAGCAATAAACAGTAGCAGCATTCACGCAGCCGCGTGTAGTGTCGGTGTTTGGGCGAAAGAGGGCTTCCAGTACCGTGCCAGTCCTGGCAGGGGAGGGGGTCCTCTCACTGGTGGGGGCATGGTTATGCATATGCAAATCGTCTCCCCCCTTTGCTTCCCAAAGCACCTTGGGACTCGCAGATCCCATGATAAACACAATTTATTTAAAGCAGACTAAACCGGTGGGTGCACTCCTAGGCGCACTATAGACATTTTCGGGAGGTCATATTCAAGATAAAACAAAGGTCGCGTGTTCTTGCTGGTGCACCATGATCGCAAACACAGTCTGGCTACAACACCTCCTAGGCTCGTTCTCCATCGGCCATTCCTATTGAATGGGCCAAACCATCGCACAAGGAACCTGAACTCGTGCGCTGTGTGGTGCAGAGGGTTCGCTGGGGATTTTCCACAGCTCTCCAAGTGGGTGCAATGGCGCGGTGTCTTCTCCATCCCAAAGAGTCATGGGATACATTCCAGGGACGCACATGGTCCGTATGTGCAACGGCAGGCCCAGGCCAGCCTATTTCTAGGCAAGCATGAGATGCAGAACAAAGCAACACACAACATACAGCAATCCCTGAATACATAATGCATAGGTATTCAATGCTAGAGACACACATAAGCAGCATCACCACTATACAGAAATACAAACATAAGCTCATATCGTTACAGTGTGTGTACACGATTTGGAAAAGAACAATAACATGTACATATCTGAAGAGTTGGGGGGAGGAGCAGTAGATAGGTCTGTCCTTGGATAATCCAATGGCTTTTCCCTTTAACCTATGATTCTGATTCAGCTTGTTCTTCCATCAACATTGAACTCACCATTTCCCTTTCCATATTCCACTATTTGTTGCCAGGTCAAATAGCGCTGGAGATACTGTTTCCATGTACTACTCAATTTATTTCCTTCCTTAGAGCAAATCATGGCGGAAGATCAAGAACATGGTGCACTGGTCCCCTTTTGTTATGTCCTTCAAGAAGAAATATCCTTGGATCCAACTAGCAGGACATGCAGGTACAGAACATTGAGTTGTGATGATTAAAATCTCTGTAGGATTTCACCTAATGAAAGGTAGGCATTAGAAGTCTCTTGGTAGACTTAAGATAATTAGCTACCTTATAACCTAGATTGCCTCTGGAAATTGAATTATAATACATTCTACCCTGCTATATCAATCTCCTCAAGGGCTGGATGAATGAGTGCTAGAGCAGCTAACAAAAAACCTTGGAAAGTTGTAGAGTACTTATAATAAGTGATCGAAGGAGAGCAGGTGAGTCAAGGAATCTTTCCCATGGCCAGTGTTAGGGGCTGGGTCACAAAAGACAACCATGTGCCACTGCTGCCAGCAGGCAGTCTGAGCTTCATGTTCCTGTGGCACATCTTTGCTGTGACCCAAAATAAGAGGATTGAGAACTCTGACCACGTAAGCAGAAAGAGATTCAATCTAGCCCAGGCTTCTGCCCTTCAACGGGATATTCTAATTATACCCCCCAACTGGTCCCTCTTGAAAACCTCCCAGCAAGAAGATTGCACAGCTTCCCTAGGGTAACTTATTCCATTGCTGAGCTGCTGTTAGATTAGAAAATTCTCCCCAGTGGTTTTAACCCAAGGTTAACCTAATTTGCCTTGCGCTTTACTCACATGTCAGAAAAGTCAGCCTGTCATACTCATCCCAGTTACTTAGCTCACTCGCTCTGTCTTTAGGTTCACAGACTGGTACCTGTAAGTGTGCCAGGGAACATGAATGGAATGGGTAGTGGCACATCTGACGAGATTTGAATTTCCCCTGCCTAATGAACTTGAGTCCCTTTCCCACATCTCTCGGACCAAGAGATTTGTCATGGGAGCCCAACTGACATCCTTCCGGAACCCGTGCACAGTGCCCTCTGCTCATAGGAAGCTTGTCAAGCACCTTTTATTCATCAGTGTGAGCTGTCTTTCGATGGAAGAGGAAGGAGTGGGCATGTGAAAGAATGGTCCACTGAGGCTTTGAAGGACTCTGCTGTTCTTTTTCAGGTCATCCCATATTATTCTCACACATGAGGCCACTTGGTAGAACATGAGATGGAGCATAGATAGAGTGAAGACCACTCACAAAGAACCATAGTTCGAAGTCAAGTGCAGTCTTATTTTCACATTTCCTTCCCAGGTCTGCACATGATATATCTGACACTTGTCAATCAAACCTCAGTGCACTTAAGCATTTGTTTAGAAGCAAATGGGATTCTATGGTTGCATGAAATGCTCTCTGTACTAATGAAAAACCTTTTTTTTGTATCTTTTCCCCTTCTCAGGTAGCTTCAAAGCTGCAGCTAATGGGCGGATATTGAAGAAGCACTGTGAGTCTGAACAGCGCTGCTTGAACCGTCTGATGGATGATGTCCTTAGGCCTTATGTCCCTGCCTACCATGGGGACATAGTGAAGGATGGGGAGCGATACAATCAGATGGAAGATCTGCTCGCTGACTTTGACTCTCCTTGTGTGATGGACTGCAAGATGGGAGTTAGGTCAGTATTCCTTTGTGGCTGAAAGTTAAGGCTTGGATCCTGTACCTTTGCTCTGGACATGCTTCTTTCCAGGCACTGCAGAGGGAGTCCTCTGCTGTGCTTCTTGACTCCTGGCGTGCGGGGCACTTCTATTTGTGCAATTCCCATATTTTTCAGTAAGCCCCAAGCGCCTACCATGAGAGGAAACACACCTGGAGAGAAGTATGTGTGGAGCTGTGGTCCAAGCGATAATCTGCATTTCTCTTAGGTGTTTCGCTAGTCGTGTCTAGTAAAAGAAACATTTCATGGGATGCTCTCATGCTCAGTGTTCCTCTACTCTGGTTCATGGGTTGCTGTTTGTGAGGGACAGAGAAACACTGAGCATGAGGCCATCACATCACACTTTTCTTATTGTTACACGTGACCAAGGACATGTGGATTGGTGATAGCCATCCATCTTCCATAACATCTAGAGAGTTGTTCTTCAGTTGACAATTAAAGCTTTCACTTAGAATCATGTGTGTCTGAACATGGAGTGAGAAGGGTCACTGACAGTATCTCAGCCTCCTCTAAGCTGGAGCAACTTTAAAGCACCTCCCAAAACCTGTAGCCACTGGTGCAAATCTGTAGTTTTACTATTATGTGCAACTAGCCAAGTATGCATGTAACTCTAGCTGAGATGGTTGGGTCTTTGGAAAACCGTATGTTTTTTCATCTTTGAGCTTTCAGAATTAAGTGACATGTTGGACTGACTGGGACAAAACCGTGTTTTTCCACTGAAGTGTGGAAAGAATCTAGGTAACAGGATACTGGGAAGCTGCAAGATAAGCCGTATGGCTCACGAGAAAGTACAGCAATAAATTCATGGCCACCACGATAACCATGGGTCTGTGTTGGACTGTAATGGGCTGGATACATGAACAGGGACATACCCTGAAATTTCTTTTTTGCACCGAGTAGTTTGCCAATGATCTGATTTGGGGGCTGGAGGTTTAGCCCTTTGTTCTGGTGAAATCACGGTCTTCTGAAGTCACAGTTGAGATTGCTGCCTGCCCCTGGAGATTAATGGATCCTGAATGGCTTCCATGTGGCTATGAGGGATTTTGAGAGCCTCCCTAGTGGCTCTGTGAAGGCACTTATAGCTGCATGGAATGATGGGCTGACTGGAGACATAAGCAGAGTTGCTCCTTGGTGTCCTCTTCCATGCTCTGTAAGGCCCCAGCTCTTTGGTTTACCTGGGAGCTGGGTGACATGAAGTGGACTGGAAGATGCCTAGAGTGATGCTGGCAGAGAACTCAGAATGAATCAGACAGAGCACGACTTAAAGCCCGTTTGCAGGCCCATGAGGCAGTGAAGACGACTTTCTTTTCTGCTCCCATTGTGCATGGAGAATCTCGTCCAGCTCAGCTGTTTAAAGTGGTTTGTGACTTGGTAATACTTAAGTCTGACCCTGCCGGTGATGAAAATTTGGCCCCCAGCTGTGATGTTGTACAAGGTTCTTTGCTGACAGAATCTCTCTCAGCTGTTCTAACTTTGAGGGCAAGTTGAGGGCAGATCCGGTACCTGAGGTGTCAGGGGCGCCTGCTTGCCCTGTTGTTGTGGGTGGTTTCAGGCTGATCCTGTCTATGGATTCTGACAGGTTCACTGGGAGTGTGAGTGCTGCCACTTGTGCTCCAGACCCATGCCCACCCTACCCTGGCTTTTAAAATCTTGGCAGGAAAAGGTATCAACGTCTCCCTGATTGAGCAGGCTCTCCCTAGGCCTTTGAAGGAGGCAGTTGTTAGACCTCTGCTCAAAAAAACCTTCATTGGCTAGGGATGAGATGGACAATTACAGGCCAGTCTCTCCAATTTACCTTTCCTAGGGAAAGTGATAGAGCGTATGGTGGCAGAGCAGCTCCATGCTTTCCTGAATGACACATCTGCCCTTGACTCATTTCAGTCTGGTTTCAGCAAAATGGCTTTAGCTGCACTGGTGGACAATCTTCCCTGTTCATACTGTTGGATCTCTCAGCAGCTTCCCCCCCCCCCCTTTGGTATTTTTGCATCTGTGTGTGCGCGCGCCCATGCCTGAAAATCATGGTGACCTCTGGCAACTCCTACTGGGGCACGGAGGACATTAAAAGTAGTGGCTTGATAGCCTGTCTCTGGCCTCTCAGCCCTGGTATTCCTTGGAGGTCTCCCATCCAAATACTTGCCAGGGTTGACCCCGCTTAGCTTCTGAGATCTGATGAGATTGGGCTTTTCTGGGCTATCCAGGTCAGGACGATCTCTCAGCAGCTTTTATACAATTGACCACTCCATTCTTATCCACTGGCTTGAATATGGAGCTGGGATTAAGGCTGTAGCCTTCTGTCTGACTAGACACAAAGAGTCTCCACTGGAGGTGCAGAATTAACTGGGTGGTATTTATCTTATGGGACGCCACATGCTCCTTAATATAGATATACTAGCCGGCAACCTGTGCTTCGCTATGGTATTTAAGTTCTGTAAATCCAGTTATAATACTGATGATGTGAAATTTGAAATGTGACATTTGTTGTAGGAATTCTAACAGAGAAGATTGTAGTGTAAGAAATTAAGTGAGACACATGTCCTTTTACCCCCCTCTACCAAAGGACCTCTCTCTAGACCACATTGGTGGTTCTGCCCTCAGGTTCTAGGATCACCAGGCTGCTTGATGAGCTCACTCTGGAGCAGGCCACATAGAACTGTCCATTTAAGAAGCAGTCGTCATTTAAGTAGCAGGGCTCATCATGTTTCTCAGAAATTTCTTCATTGGGGGGGGGTTGACGTCATGGTAGGAATGCACTCCCCTTATTTTGGGTTTCTTGGTGCAGGGGTTTGGCCTGGGCAGAGGTTATTTCGGGGGGGAACGCGGGGGATCGCAGTTCCCCCGGCCCTCATTCAGCCAGGAGGAGGCAGGAGAAGAGGGAGGGTAAGTTGCTTCCTCCCTGCCTGCCTGGGGCCAGGGAGGGCCTTCGCGGGGCTTCCTTGCACTCCCGCCGGCCTTGCAGGTCCACCGCCGGGCCCCTCATGGGGCTCGGCAGTGGAGCTGCAAGGCTGGCGGTGGTGGCCGGGACCGTTGGGGGCGGGGTGTGTGACCTTATGACACACTTAGGCCGGGACCGTTGGGGGCGGGGTGTGTGGCCTTATGACACACTTCCAGTGATGTCAGGGGGTGTGGCATATGCTAATGAGTTATGCTAATGAGTTCCCCTAGCTCTTTTTCTACGAAATGACCCCTGGGCCTGGGCATTGCATTTGGGGGGGGTATGGGGGGGACTTTTTAACAAAAATCCTTCTCATTTATGTTACATTTTAGAACTGGGACATAACTACATATTCAAAACACCATCCGAGCACTCCGATATTAAGCAAGTTCATATGAACCAGTTTTCTAGAACCCACATTGTGAGAAGTTAAATAACCTAATAAAGGAAACCAGTTTTCTACAAATTTGGAGTATATTTCCATTATGGGTGTGAGTTTGGCTAAGCTGGGCCAGCAGCACTGATGGATTAAAGTAACCTGCTCCTACACCTGACAGACACCAGCCTATCTGGTGTTTGGGGGGGGGGGATTATGTTAAAAGGCATTGCGGAGGCTGGGTCAGCAACACGGCTAAGGCAATCCTGCTGAGCAAACCTCCCCAGCGGCTGTAAGCATCCCACCTCCTCTCCTACACCTGACAGGCAGTTGCCTGTCTAGTGTGGGAGGAAGAGGGGGAGGAGTATTAGAAGCCACTGTGGAGACTGGGCTGGCAGGATCACTAAGGCATTACTGCTGGGGCGGGCTCCCTCATGGCTTTAAGCACCCTGCAACTGCTGCTGCACCTGACAGACAACTGCCTGTTAGGTGTAGGAGGTAGGGGGAGTGTGTTGGAAGCCATCAGAGAGGCTGGGCCAGCAGCATTACTGCACCTCACAGGTGGTTGTTGGCCACTCCTGATTTCCTCAACTGTCATGAGCTCTCTGCAGTCTCCTCTAACTGTTGTTTTTTTTTAACCTCAGAACACTGAGCTCTGCAGCTGACCAATCAGAGAGTGGGGGGTGCAAGGAGGCAGCTGCCTGGCAGCTGCATAGGAATTAATGGGAGGAGCACATTTTACCCCTTTTGACCCCCTTAGGAGTCAAATTTCTAAAAATCCCTTCTTAGTGAGCACCCACGTCATGGTAGGAGGGCTCTCCCTGAATTTGCTGTTTCTAGGTCCAGTGGTTTTGCCTGGGGGTTGATTTTACGGTGAGGGGACTTTCTTTTATATACATAGATGAGGCCACTGAATGAGATTGTCTGAAGTTTTGGGTGTCAGCAATATGCAGATGACACCAAGCTCTATATTTCATTTCCTGAGCCTCCAGATGTGTCCATCTTGATTCTGAACTGATGCTTTGAGGCTGCAATCAGGTGGCTGCAATCAGGTGGCTAAGGCAGATCAAACTGAAGCTGAATCCAGACAAGACAGGTAATGCTGGTTGGGAAGGCTGGTTCTAGAGGGACTGAATCTACTTGTCCTAGATGGAATGACGTTGGTTTTTTCAGTAGCTTGGGGCTACTCATGCACCCTGCCTTTCTTTTTGAAAAGCAGTTTGGCATGGTGGCCAGGAGCATTTTCTATCAGCTGCTTCTTATTCACCAGTTTTCTTGTTACCTAGAGTGAGCTGATCTGGGCAAACTGATCCATGCTTCTATAACTTGTGTCATAATACTTGATTTTAACTACCCAAACATTGATTGGGTCAATCCGTATTCAAGTCGGGAAACAGAGATTGGGTGCATTCAGACGCGCTGTTTGATCTGGTGTCGTGACGGTTCAGCAAAGGATTTTATCTGCACGATCGCACAGTCAACATCTGCCTTCTGTCCCCAGCCGTTGGTTTCCGGCTCAAAACCGCTTTAACCTGGAGTATTTTGTTACCAGGTCCCAAAGTGGTGTTTTCTCAGCTCTCCCGTTTAAAGCCGCATTTCCCCCCTGTGTGATCGCTCCTCCAGTGTCAAGCCACTTCTGGTTTAAAACCACTC